TCCAACGCTGGATTATAACTTTATTACAGAAGATTTAACAGTTAGCATCCATGTATAAGCAAATATATAATCACTACATTTGTCTTTCTGGGTCTGGGTTACCTCACTCAGGATGCTGTTTTCTTTCTAGCTTCATCAATTTACATGTGATTTTATAATTTCATTTTATAATGATTGGGTTATATTCTGTTGTGTAGATGTACTATGATTTATTTTTGTTTATTAGTTCATTAGAAAACATGAAGACTGTGTCCAATTTCTGGTTCTTACGATTAGAGCGCAATTAATGTCTCTGTAGTAAGATTTTGTGCATTGTGGGCCTAGGCCTGAGTCATGAAGTCTTGAGGTAGGTAAATTTCATTGTCCTGATGAAATGCCACACAGATTTCCACAGAAATTTTCATTATTCATTACATTTGGCATTTATTAGAATATCTTGAAGTCTACAGCCACGTAGACCAACAACGATTATCTTTTAATTGAATTTTGTCAAAGAGCCTTTCTCTAATCAAATTAGATGATCATGTGATATAGAATTTTCTGTCTGTTTATGTGGTAGATTATTTTTACTGATTTACGTGTGTTGAACCATCTCTGCACCTCTAGGATAAAGCCTACATCATCATGATTGATGGTGCTTTGATGTCTTGGATTCAGCTTACAGGTACTTTATCAATTTTGCATCTATGTTCAAAAGAAAATTGGTCTACAATTCTCTTTCTTTAGTTTTTATGCATTTGGATACCAAGTTAACTGCAAACTCATAAAAATAATTGGACAATATTCTTTTATTTTCTATTTTGTAGAGTTATTTAAGGATTTTTTTCATTAATTATTTGAAAATCTTGTAGAGTTCTCTGTAAAACTATCTCAGCCTTGGTTTTTTGTTGGATGACTTTTTAAAAAATTGCTTCTATTTCACAATGGATTATATATGTCTTTTAAAATAGTTTATAGAATTCTGATTTAATTTAGTAGATGATAAATATAAAGAAAATTATCTTTTTCTCTTGGATTTTCAAATATGGTGGAGTATATCTTCTTTTAACGTATGCCCTATGATTATGTGGAGTTCCTTGGTGTCTATTATGTCCTCCTTTTTGTCTCTCATTTTGATAATTGGATCTTTTCTCTCTATCCTTAGCTAATTTTGCAGTCTATCAATCTTATTGATCGTCTCAAAGAACCAACCATTTGTTTCATTGAATATTTGTGTTTTTGTTTGATTGCTGTTTGTTTCTGTTTTCTTGATTTCATGCTGATTTGATTATTTTTTGCCACCTACATTTTGGAGATATTTTATTTCTTCATTTTGTTCTGGAGCTTTCAGGGTATCAGTGAGTTACTACTAAGATATCTCTCCACTTTTTTTAAGAAAGCACTTGTGGCTATAATCTTGTCTTTCATGATCTCCTTCATTGTGGCTCATAAGTTTGGTTATGTTGTGTTTAAATTATTATTAAATTCTAAAACATATTTTAATTTCTCTTTTAATGTCTCTCTTGACTCATTGTTTACACAGTAGTGAGCTCATCTTTGTTGATTTCTTTTGTGTCTGTTTTTGTTTATATTCAACTTTAAAACATAGTTGTCAGAAAATGTGCAGTTTTTATAGAATCTATGGATTTTAGATTCTCAATAGAAACATTGTTGGTATAATTCTGGTAGGTGTACATTTATATGTTACTTGGATTTTTCCCCCTTGCAGCTTTAAGTATTCTTTTTGTTCTGGACATTCAGTGTTCTTATTGCTTTGTGGTTTGATGAATTTCTTGTCTAGTGCACTCTATTTGGTGTTCCATATGCTTCATATACCTTGAGAGGCATCTCCTTCTTTATGTCAGAGAATTTTTCTTTTGTGATATTTTTTTTCAAAAATATTTTCTGTGACTTTATCAGTCTTTCTTTTTTTCCTTACTTAGTTTTTATTCATAATCATAAACTTAACTCTGCAATCCTGCTAGACTTGAAGGGGAATGAGGCAAATATGAACCCAAAGAACTTCAGTGAGAGCAGAGATTACGGGTTACTGTGATCAGATGGGGCTTGGGTGCTCTACTGAGCTACAGAAGGAATGGTCTGGTGGGTAAGAAGTCAAAAGAATTAGAGTTGTCTGTAAGCTTCCGCACTTTTCTGTGGACACCCGAACCTCGAAACAGGCGCGCGCTTTCCTGACTCGAGCCCACGAGAACGAACGCATGTCCTAGGGGTTTGAACAGACGACACACACACAAAGAAACCGGCTCATCTGCCAAGAGCAAGTGGCAAATGGCAACTTTATTAAACTCAAGTCAGATATTTATACCAGTGGGCAACCAGGATCAAAAAGGCAAGGCCTCCTCCCAACCAGAAGCAGGAGGAGAAGATTAAAGCTTCCCGGCCCCCTCGGGCAGGGTCAGCCAGGGGAGGCAGGCTAACGGCTCACTGCTAAGACCTTGAATACAGGCGGAATCACCATAACAAAGAGAACCAGGTTCTTGCTAAGTTATCCCCTCAAGCCAGAGCTGGAGCAGAGACTCCAGGAAGCCGGAGGTCACACGGCCCTGCGAATCTCCAGGAGAGAAGGGAAGAAACTTTGCTAGCTACAGTTGTCCACAGTCAGAAATGATCTTCTTGCTGGTCTTGCCATTTCTGGACCCAAAACGCTCCATGACTTGCACAATGCTCATGCCTTCTCTCACCTTTCCAAAGACCACGTGTTTGCCATCCAGCCACTCAGTCTTGGTGGTGCAGATAAGAAACAGGGAACCGTTTGTGTTTGGCCCAGCATTTCCCATGGACAAGATGCCAGGACCTGTATGCTTCAGGATGAAGTTCTCATCCTCAAATTTTTCTCCGTAGATGGATCTGCCGCCAGTGCCATTATGGCGTGCGAAGTCACCACCCTGGCACATAAATCCTGGAATAATCCTGTGAAAGGAAGAACCCTTATATCCAAATCCTTTCTCTCCAGTGCTCAGAGCATGAAAGTTTTCTGCTGTCTTTGGAACTTTGTCTGCAAATAGCTCGAAGGAGACGCAGTGGGGTTGACCATGGCTGCAGTAAGCGGCAAGAGGGGACAGTGACACCTGCAAAGAAGCCTTATCTAGCTTTCTCTATTTTCTTCTATTTCTCTTATTTATATATTTTATTTTTTCATTGTGTACTATATTTCATGAATTATTTATTTGTTTTACATTTAATATTTTCTTTGACCAAAGGACCCATTTCATCTATTCGGTCTTAAAAAGTCAAAATTTTTCTCTTCTGTCTCTCATGTGCTATTAATAAGGCTTACCTCTGATGTCCTTGCCCAAGTCCTAAATTTTTCATTTCCAGTTTTCACTCAGATTGGGTTTTCTTCATTGAGTCTCTTTTTACTTCCATTTCTGGAACAGGTTATTCATCTCGTTCCAATGTTTCTGTTTTATAGATTTTAACTAATGGATTTATATTTCATATCCTGTTTAAGGACCTTGAAAAAAATCATAATAGCTATTTTGAAGTCTCTGCCTTGTGCTTCAGTTGTACTACAATCTCAGGGCCTCAGTAGGGTTGCTGAAGACACATTGACCTTGCTAATCTTTGTTGTTTTTATGCTGATGTCAAGGTGTCTGAGTTTGTGATGATTGTAATTCTAAGTATTGACATCTGACTTTAACTTTGCTTGGTAAGTGTTTGTTCCTGTTTTTGCTGTTGTCTCTGGTTCTTAGGAGAGTGTGAAAGCCTGGGTTGCAAGATAGGGAGGGCTTCTGAGATTCTTCCAGGTATGGCCACTAGGGTCCCAGGTAGACTGTGGTTTTTAGTTTTAGGAGCTGGCTCTTAGCAATGGCTATGGTCTAGAAGACATGTGCTGAGAGGGTCTGCTACAGGGAGAAAAGAAGGCGTGAGCCAGAATTGATTTAACTCCCCTGCCACCTTAGCAAATATTTTGCTACAGAACTAGGGAATGGACCGAGGAATAGCAATGAAGAACATTATTTTAAAGTGTGTGATTTTTTTTTTCTTGCACTTTTTAAATTCTGTGAAGCAGTGATTCTTTGCCTGTCTAAAGCACCTGGTGGCCCTAATAAAGAACTGAATGGCCAATAACAAGGCAGGAAAAAGGACTGGGAGTCAGAGAGAATAAATAGGAGGTAAAATCAGGGAAGAGAAGAAGGAATGAGAATAAGGAAAGGAGTACTTAAGGGACCAGCCATCAAGCCAACCATGGCATAGAGCAAAAGTAAGATATACAAAAGAAAAGTTAAAAGGCCAGAGGCAAAAGGTAGTTGGTGTAATATTTAGCTCAGGGTGTCACCCCAGCCCTTTAACATTCCTATAGCCAAGGAATCTGGATATTTGGTCAAAAGTCACACTGCTATATCCAAAGAGTCTGGAATGTAATATTAACCTGGAGGTGTCATCCTAGCCCAAAAAGTCTAGGATAATTGAAAGCCCCTTCCCTGGCAGTTACCCTGACTTGGACTCCAATTCCCAGCCTGCCAAGCGCTGATCCCTCCCTGGGAAGGGTCGGGACTACTCCCCTAGGCTATTTAGGCTTGTACCTGAAAGAACAAGTAGTTTTGGTTTTGCATGTGTGTGTGTGTGTGTGTGTGTGTGTGTGTGTGTGTGTGTGTGTGT